GCTCCTGGAGAAATGGCTAATTCTAGGGCTGGGATGGGAAAAACATAAGATGAGATTGGATCATATAGTGCCAAGGAGTAAGGAAGTATTTTAAAAACAAACGAACAAAAAAAAGAGATAGGGGTATATCAAAGGACACAAGAGCCAGCTGGAAAGATCTCTTAATGGCCAAATCCAAAAGCTGAGCAAGAAAATAAATAACATAGCACTGGATTATAACCCAAAGTATAAAATAAACATGCATGAGTCCACACTAGTAATTGATTAAAGAAACAAATAAATGGTGGGAGAAGAGACACATCTTCCTCACAAAGAATTTAAATAACATATGTAGATATTCCCCCATCCAGGAGGTGGAATTTAATTCCCTTCCTCTGGATTATAGGCTGACTTAGTAACTTCAGTAACTTGCTTTCAAAAAACAGAGTACAGAAAGGGAATTTGGTATTGGAGAAACCTGGGAGATACTACCTTAACCAAATGGTGGAGGTTCATATCAACAGTGATTAGTCACAGTGATTTTAAAAAAGAAAACAGGGAAACACATGGATTGGAGAAGCCTAGGAAAACATGATAACAAAATCCAGCGTGGTATCCTGAACTAAATACTGCAACAAAAATAGGAATCAGGACCCAGTCTAATCAAGAGAAAAACATCAGACAAATCCTAGTCAAGGAATATTCTATAAAATACCTGCCCTGTCAAAGTCCTCGACACTGTAAGAGTCATCAAAAATAGGAAAAGTCTGAAAGATTTTCACAATCATGAAGAATCTAAGGAAGCATGATTACTATTACTATATGCGGTATGTTTTCATGGATAGGATTATGGACTAGAAAAAGAACATTAGGTAAAAGCTGGGAAAAAAACTGAATAAAGCATAAACTTTGGTTAATGATAATTTATCAGTATAGGTTCATTAATTATAAAAAATGTACCACGTTAAGGTAATATAATAATAGGAGAAACTGGGTGTCGTGCATATAGGGTAAGTCCCTGTACTAACTTTGTGATAATTCTATCAATCTAAAACTGTTCTAAAATTAAAAGTGTATTCATTTTTAAAAAGACATTAATTCAAACACTGGTGAAATGTGAATAAACTCCATAGTTAATAGTATCATATTAATGTCAATTTTTTTTTTAACCACGTACCATGTCAAATGTACCACAGTTACATAAGATGTTAACATTAGGGAAAACCAGATGAAAGGTATGTGGGAACTCTGAATTATCTTGGCAAGGTTCCTATAAATCTAAAATAAAGAATTTATTTTCAATGGGCAAAAATATTTTAACTGATACTATTATTTTATTTTATTTTTTTGAGACAGAGTCTCACTCTGTTGCCCAGGCTGGAGTATAGCAGCACGATCTCAGCTTGATGCAACCTCTGCCTTCTGGATTTAAGCGATTCTCCTGCCTCAGCCTCCCAAGTAGCTGGGACTATAGGCACGTGCCACCACACCCGGCTAATGTTTTGTATTTTAGTAGAGATGGGGTTTCACCCTATTGGCCAGGCTGGTCTCGAACTCCTGACCTAGAGATCCACCTGCTTCAGCCTCCCAAAGTCCTCGGATTACAAGCATGAGTCACCGCACCTGGCCCTGAAATGATACTTCTTAAAAGATGCATGCATATCCAATAGGATATGAAAAATGCTCATCATGGAAGTACAATTTAGAACAAAAAGAAAATACTACATAACTGCTAGAATAGCTAAAATGTAAAAAGACTGACCTCTTAAATAAAATGGACAAATCCTCGAAAGACACAGCTACCAAAGTTCACTCAAAAGGTAAATCATAAAAGAAATTGAATTCCCAGTTCAAAAACATAAAAAAAAAAAAAAAAAAAAAACCTCCAGGCCCAGATGGCATCAATGCAAATTCTACCTAACATTTAAGAAATAATTCCAATTCTATACATATTCTTCCTGAAAACAAAAATGGGGAAAACACTTTCCAAAAGTGAGTTGAGGACATCACCCTAACAACAAAATTAAATAAAGGGATTACAAGAAAACAAACTACAGGCTGAGCACGGTGGCTCATGTCTATAATCCCAGCACTTTGGAAGGCCAGGGCAGGCAGATCATGAAATCAGGAGATCAAGACCACCCTGATCAATATGGTGAAAACCCGTTTCTACTAAAATTACAAAAATCTAGGCATGGTGGCACATGCCTGTAATCCCAGTTACTTGGGAGGCTGAGGCAGGAGAATCAGAGAATTGCCTGAACCAGGGAGCCGGAGATTGCAGTGAGCC